GAGGTTTGTGCAGGGAGAAGGGTGCAACAATGAATGAATGGAATCCCAAAATCTCTGTAGATGTTCATTGAAATGAAAAATAAAAACCTAAATTAAAAAAAAAAATGGTATTTCTATTTGCAACTTTTTGAGAAAGCACCATACAGCCTTCCTTAGTTGTTGCACCATTTTACACTCCCACCGATGAATAGCTCTTGGAGTTATTCATTTACACCAATGAATAAGTGTTCCAGTTTCTCCACTATCTCGCCAGCATTTGTTGTTTGCTGTTCTGTTGAATTTTGCTATTCTTACTGGGGTGAGATGATATCTCATAATTGTTTTGATTAGCATCTCTCTTAGAGCTACAGATTTTGAACATTTCTTCATGTATTTGTTCGCCATTTGAATGTCTTCTTTGGTGAAGTATGTAAACTTTTAAATGATTGGATTTTTCTTCTACTTTTGCATCCCCCTAGCTAGAATACAGGGAACTCTGGTGGCCGGCCTAGTGCCAAGAAGCCGAGCTGCCAACCCAAGGACATACAGTTCAAATCCACCTGTTTCACAGGAGAAAAATGAGCAGTTTCCTCCTGGGTGATTTACAGCTGCTGTAAACCCACCAGAGGGCTGGCTAGGGGTGGGTTCTGATGTGATGGTACATAACAACAACTAGCTTCTAGTTCCCTGTAGAGAAGATTCTGTTGATATTTGTCCCGTGTATGAATGATTGAATATACCAAGAGACTTTGAAATGTCTTGATCTGAAACAGTTAACTAATTTGGGAGGAAAAAATGTCTTTTTGTTTGTAATATACAAATCATTTTCTAATTTATCTTATTATACCCTCACCACCAACAGAAACAAACAAGGTAATTGCTATGCTTCCATTATGCAGATAATAGAGGCTCATTAAAGATCTTAACTTGCTCAAGATAACAGCCGGTGACATTAGAAGACTTCAACAAATCTGCTGAATTCCAATTCGATCGCTTCCACCTTGTTTACTGGGGCAGGATACTCTAAGATTACAGTTTATTGTTTATAGAGTTGCTGTGAGATGTAGTCTGTAACAACAAGTGACAACGAGGAGAAAATATACTCCTCCTAAAGTTGTAGGTCCTCTAGCTAGCAGTTGTTTGGGTTAGGATAAGATCATAACTCCAAGACTTTAGAAGCTGATCAGTAAGTAAAACTATAGTTAGAAGGATGTTTTAGTCTGTTTTACCACTTAACTGTGTGACCTTGAGCAAGTTACTGACCTCGGTAAACCTCATATTCCTCACCAAGTTGTTGTGAGGTCTCAATCATTGAAAGCTCTTAAGACCCTGGCTTTGGTGAAAGCTCTTAAGGGCCAGTCATTGTTTCAGAGTTAAGTATATAGTATTAAATAATGCAATGGCTATCTGTTAGGCCCTGCATTCCTTTAGACCCTCACGTGGGCCCATTGGAACTATACTCCTCCTACACCCTCACCAATAAAGAGCATTGCAGATGTAGAGGGATTATATTCCAGGAGGGAGGCCCAGAGCAAAACAAGGAGGTCAACCATCTTTCATTCTGTGTTATTGAGGTCAATGAAGTTTTCTTGCCCCCAGTTTCTGCAGGGAAGGCCAGAAATAAGAAGTTAATGTCATCAAATTTCTTGAAAAGTTGTCTCCTAAGAAAGTCACAGGAGGTAAAGATGGCCCTGTTATTTAGCAGCTTATAAGCTGAAAAAGTTCAGCTGGCTTAGAAACTGTTGGAAAGAACTTGTAGAACTTACAAATTCTTAGAACTCTTAAGAGAGTTCAGCTGGCTGTCTTCACTGAAAGAAGGGATTCTGAGCTTAACTTCAGAGGATGATTAAGAAAGGTGTGTTGAATGAGGCGAGGTGTGGAGAAGGGAAAAGTGTAGGATTCATAAGCCCCTTGGGATGCTCTGTGTGTGTGTGTGTGTGTGTGTGTGTGTGTGTGTGTGCACATCTTCTAGAAAGATCTATTGAATTAATCAGATTCTCAAGGTTCATTCTCCTATAGACAGCGACTGTTTTTTGATAAGAAAGGAAAGGAAGAAGGGGTTACTGTCCTCAGACATGCCCCACCTCATATAGTCTACAATCATGCTATTGTTGCCATGTGCCATGGAGTCAGAACCAGTTCATAGCTGACACCCCAGCAACTTTTCAGAGGCTGTAAACTGCACAAGAAGTGACTGCCATCTTTGTCCTATGGAAGGTGGATCTGAACCATGAGCAGGATGTGAATTGATTGGCCACGCAACTCCTTACCACTAGGCTCCACTAGCCTCCAATCATGACATCCCAAAAGAGACATGAGGGACTTTGGGGAAAGAAAGATCTTTATTCAGTAAGGGTATCTCGCACAGTAACAAAAGAATCCCCAGGAGGTAACAATCCCCCCAGGTCTGGAGCAAGGTCCACCCTAGCCACAAGAAGGATGGCTCATTGACACATCACCCCTGATGGTCACTTAGAGGTCATAGTTGGGGTTCTTCCGAAGAATAACAAAACCTTCTAAAATGGGAGTAACAGGAAGAAACTCCTCTGTAGCCAACTCTGCCCTCTCTCCATGGGCCAACAACACGGGGGTTGTGTGTGTCTGAAACCCTGTGATAGTCTTGGGCTTGCCAGCTTGGCCCACTACATCCACTGCCTGTAGGGTAAGAAAACAGAAATAAACCATTTCAGAGGGAGAGGGGAAGCAATCCACTGCCTGACCCATTTCAGAGACACAGGGACATGCACATTCAGAGTTCTGGAGCATGCCCTCCCTCAGCGCCTCACCTGGCCCACGCGGACAGACACTGGCAATGGTCGCAGCTCCTCATCGAATGTAACCAGCATCCGGGGCTGCATGGCGGCCACCAGCCCATACAGTACATAGTGTGATTTACCTAGGATGACTGAAGGAAGCCCACAGGACACCATGGTTAGAGCATCAGGGCAGGTTTCCACGAGCCCCTAGGGCCTCCATTCTCAAAAGATAACCTCTCTTTGGGACAGCTGAGAAGTGTGGGAGGTGAAAATTCTCTTGAGGGTTAGGGTTAAGTTATTCTGAAATAACCTAGTTATTATATCACAAAGGCCCAAAGAGCCCCAGGACCCCAGAGTGGTACAAAGCTAAGAAGGGTCCTGGCCCCAAAATATCAAAAGAGCCCTGGTAAGAGTAGAGAAAGGGCACTATATGCCACAATATAAGATTTCTGACAAGAACTTACTGTTTCGGACATCCAAGAAGGAGACAAGTACCGTAAGCAGCCCAGCCACAGCCACTTGACTCATAAGCTGCCGGTCACTATGGTAAGGACAGAGGGTGAGTGTACCCTTCCCCAAATGGGTCAGGCCCTGAAAAAAACAGAGGGGAGCAAGCAGAAGGGAGTGAGTCACACTTGAGGAGACATCACCTAATGCGGCCATACCAGGAATCCCACAATGCACCCCTATCTTTGCTTCCACATCTAGACTTAAGGTCCCTTTGCCAACACATATCCCCTTCCCATCTCCAGACAGCTCCCCTGGCATGCTCTAAGGAGAACTGCTCCATCTTTACCTGTGCCAAGCGCACCATGAAGAGATTGTTGGGGTCCTTGGCATGATACTGGGCTAACTGGCGCAGCATTGCAGCCAGACGGGCATTATTGGTACCTGGAAAGGTTAAGGGTTCCAGAGGCTTGAAAAGCAGCCCTCAAGTCTTCCCCAAATCTGCTTTGGATGTTTTCCTGCCTGATACTTACCACTGCCCACCATTCCCATGGCAAAGATGGAGTTGTAGGACACTTCTGGGTCAGCATCATGGGAAAATTTGCTAAGGGTATCCAGAATGTTGAGCCGTGGATTTGAAACAGAGATCAGGGCCAGGGCTAAAGGGACGGCCCGCCGGAGTGTAGGTTCCCCGTACCTCAGCTGATGATAAAGCAGTTAAAAAAGTGGGTACGGAAACACACTGCTGGATGGAAGGGATGCTGAATTGTATTTAGAAGAAAGGGCACTGCACCAAGGCCATTTCCTCATCCTCCGCTGAGAAAACCCATCAGGAAAGCCTCCTCCAGGAACCCTGGGCCACCACACCACTACATCCAGTCCTCTTCATCCTGTACTCACCAAGTGGCCAAAGGTCCGTAGTGCCATCTCAGCACCAATCTCTTCCCCCATGGCAATCAGGGCGATGCCCAGCACAGCCACTCCCTGCAAATGAAGATGCAGGAGAATCCAGTCAGCTCAAGGACCAAAACATGCCCACCCGGGGCTCTATCCTGTCTAACACACACAGCTATACTCTTAGCCCTTGTGTACAGAGCAAAACTCCTGTGGCTTCAATGTACAATGGCAGCCAGAGGAATCTGAAAACCAAACCAAACTCAGACTCTAGGCGTCCCTGGTGCGCACTCAAGTCCACACCCAAGTCCACATCACCTGATGTGCTCCCATGTCAGCAGGGGCTTCCTTCTTGTCCTTGTCCTTTTTATCCTTTTTGTCTTTATCATCCTCCTTCTCCTTGGAGTCAAAGTGTTCGCTACAGATGTGGAGCAGCTGCTGCACCTTCAGGACATTCCCAGAGCCTGCACAGGGTGGACAGGGAAGATATGAGAAGGTACCAAAGGAAACCGTACCCTGGTGGAGTAGAAGCCTAATGAATCTAAAGCGGATCAAAAGAAAAAAGAGAGACGAGCCCCTGACGAAGCACAAGACAGCGCCCCAGAGACACAGACCTGCATAGGCGCACACATCCACCAATGTGTTGGCAAAACTGCGGAATGGCTCTGACACAACCTCCAGTGCAGCCAAGATTGCTTCAATGGCCTCGCCCTTCCCTACAGAACAAATTCAAGAGATCAGAGGAGGCCTGCTCACCAGCCAGCAGTTTCTCACAAAAACCCTCCTGCTGGAGGCACTGACTGTCAGTCCTTTGTCCAACCAGAGGCAGGACCTCACCCAGGTGATTCAGGCCCAGTCCAAGAGGAAGCCAACGGGCATAAGTGTCCTTCAGCTCCGTCTCGGACTTCTCCATGATGGTCTGAAGGATAGTGGAAGTGACATCTCCGTTGCATGATCCCACTGCTATCATTCCACAAGCCAAGGCGGTGACACCTGCAACCTAGAACAGACATAAATGAAATTTGTAACATACGTTTTTGCTATTTTGATTCAAGATAGCAGATTCCTACTGTCTGCTGTAACACAGTAACCAAACACAGCAGTAATCCCTTACTGAAACAATAGTAGCAACTCATTGAGTACTTACTAAATTGCCAGACTTCTCGCCAGCTTCTTTGCATACTATTAGCATTTAATCCTCAGAATAAGCTCATGAAATGAATGTATCCTGCCATTACTCTTATTGATGAGGGAAAAAAGAGACCTAACGAGATGCATCACAGTATTAAGGAAACAAAAATCCTCACCACTAGAGCAATAGGCAACAGATGGAGGAAAAAACTCAAGTTGTCAAGGATTTCATCTTACATGGCTACACCCTCAACACCCAATGATAACAGCAGTCAAGAAATCAAAAGATGTGTCACATTAGGAATATCTGCTGTCAAGGACCCCTCCAAGGTTAAAGAGCAAGGCTGTCAGTTTAAATACTAAGGTTTACCCATCCAAGCCATGATCTTTTCTATGCACCTGGAAGTTGGACAATAAATGTGTCAGAAGAACTGATGCCTTGAGCTGTGGTGTTGCAGATGAGTACTGAATATCCCATGGGCAACCAAAAGAACAAATGTGTTCTGGAAAAACTGCAACCAGCAGGCATGAGAGGCAAAGATGGTGACACTCCATCTCACATACTTTGGGCATGTTGTCAGGAAGGGAAAAGGTGCAGGGTCAGGGAAGACAGAATCTCAAGACACATCAGCATAGTGACTGTAACAGTGTGCTGGTGCACATTGCAGATCTTGAGGATCATGCAGGAAAGTACAAGGCTCAGATCTGTTGTTCACAGAATGTCTATGAGGCATAATCAACTCAGTGGCACCTAACAATAACAAAGAGATGGAGTTACTTGTTCACAATCACACAGCTAATACACAGATGTAGGAGGATCTGAATCCAGGCCTTTCTGATTTAAAGTCTACTTTATCCACTAAAATGAGTGCAAAAGTAAGAAAATGAAAGGCTGGCAAATGACTAAAACCATGAGAACTACCCAATTTATCAAGCTGGGTAACTTTCACCTCACTCTGGTTGGTTGGTTTCTCATGGATCTCAAAGTTGTAAAAAACTCAATAGCTAACTGGTAACTTCTTAGCCGCCACACTACCTGAGGCACAGAATCAATCCCACTAAGAGCTTTTGCTGAGATGACAAATCACACCCCCACATTTTCTCCAGAGAGCTCTGGGGCTCAGAATACTTTCCCTAAGTTATTAAATGACCACCAACTTCTACCCACTTCCATGTTGGACTTGGAATCTCCCATCACAGGCAGCAGCAACGTTAGAACATCTTCACGGTTGGAGCCAGCATAGGCTAAGCCCAGCCTGCAAAAGCCAGGAAGAGGAAGTCCATCACACACCCGCATACAGGACAAGACAGCAGAAAAAAATAATCGTCACTCATCATTTCAACAAATATTCACCAAGAAGCAAATGCCTGACAGGCAAGGTCCTGAGTACTACCAGGGAAGTGACACCTTACCCAAAGATGGATCCGAGCCTCATGGTGTTGCTGTTGTGAAGAACATAGTCTGAGAGCAGTGCCAGAGCAGGGTCACACTCGTTCCGGACCCCAGAGTTCACAATGCCACAGGCCAGAAGGGCTCCAGACTACAAAATGGAAACAGGGCCTACTCTCAGCCCACTCTACCTTCCTTACCACAGAGGATGCAACATGGGCTTCATAACAGCACCCCAAGTCAAAAGGAGTTAAACAATGGATGGACCTGACCAGAGAAACCGATCAGTGTGGGGTCCAAAGGACGAGAGGGGAGTCTCCATCAGTGAGCTGGATCCAGACCAACCTTGATATAGTCCTCAGAGGAGTACAGGTACTTGTCTATCTGGGTGAGGCCACCATCCACATCCCATAGCAAAATCATGCCAAGAGATGCAGCTGCACTCAACATCCCTGTATCAAAGAAAATTCCATCAGTGCTGCAATAGTCCTACCAGAAAACGTGGGTATAAAGACTCTCCAAGATGGTACTGGGAGCCTGTTAGGATAGGGAGGGGTCCAGGAGGCAACAAGTGTCCACAGGAACACACAGATGAAGCAGAACAGAACCCTACCATGGTCCTTGTTTTTGTAAAGCCATTTGTTGCCATCATCAGTTAGCAGCTTGTCCTGACCAAAGGCTGCATTCACAAAGCCGTTCACAAAAGAGGAGGCCAGATTCATGCGTGCAGAGTCAACCTGAGAGCCACTGCCTCCAAATCCTGCACGGAAAGAAGGAAACTAGAGTAGGGCCAAAAAAGGAGCACAGCATGGCAGCCTGGGCTCTGGGGCTGAGCTGGCTTCTGAAGTCACTTTTGTGCCCCTAAGCATTGACTGAAGAAATGTACATGAGAATGCTGAGTTCTATAGGATAAACACGCTAGGTCCCAGCATTATGCCCAGTACAAGCGATATAATTAACAATCCTTCCATCTCCCCACACAGAGAGCTACTCACTGTTGTTCTCTAGATGGGTTTTATAGATGTCATCAGGCACCTTGGGCTCCATGATGTCCAGCTGAAGAGAAATCAGGAGGTCACAACTTCTCCCCCAATTGTCCCTCTACTATTCCACTAAACAGCAATTCTAACCACGGAAGGTCTAGTCAGGGGTAGTTAGAGAGAGGAAATGCCAAGGAGAATTAAAACTCAAGTCTTAATGGAGAAAAGGGAAAAAAAGAGTCTCACCTCCCGAGCTAAAGCCAAGAAGTTGCTGTTGAGCTGCACATTTGACATGATCTCTGTCAGGTCCTCATATTCTTCGACATCTTCACTCAGCTCCAGGAACACCCCATGTCGGCCCAGCATGAATGCCATCTGTTTTTGTACTACCCTGTGGGAAAGAAGCAGCACGCACACTCAAGTCAGAATCTAGAAATCCCTGCTTTTCTTGCAAATGCTCCATCCGTGAACTCATCTTTCCCTCTGCCAATTTCTTCCCTACATACACATCTTTGCAGGAGGTAAAGATGTCTTCCACAAGCTCCATGTCATTGAGCATCAATGCCAATCTCAGAGCCTCGGGGAAGCGGCTGAACTTCCGGAATACACCCAAAGCACAA